GGAATATCCAAAAGAAAATTTTGTGACAAATTAAAAAACATGGAACGCATTAATTTTGATATCTGATATACTAAGTGGCCTAAAATAGGTAATGAGAGGAAGAAATCTTTTGGTTTTGTATCATAAGGCTATGCTGCTTTAAAATTCCGATATTCCTAAATTCATATAATATCTGTTTCCAAAAAAAAAAAAAAAGAAAAAGGGAAAAGAAAATATTTTTAAAAACATTTGGAGGTAGGGGGACAACACAAAACATGGAACACATTAATTTTGATATCTGATATACTAAGTGGCCTAAAATAGGTAATGAGAGGAAGAAATCTTTTGGTTTTGTATCATAAGGCTATGCTGCTTTAAAATTCCGATATTCCTAAATTCATATAATATCTGTTTCCAAAAAAAAAAAAGAATAAAGGCAAAGATAATATTTTTAAAAACATTTGGAGGTAGGTGGCCTACACAAAAGATTATGTATTTTGATTCTACTAAAGAATTAGGCAAGCAGGCAGGAGGGCTGGCTGACACAGTCTGGGTATGGAAATGGCTACCATCTTGTTTGTGTGTTTATGGTGTCTTATGAAATCAGATGATTAATTTGAGAGGATGCCAATGATAATGCCTATTAGAAATGTCACAATAAAAGTGGCTTGAAGCTGGTTGACTTTCTATATGTTGCTATAGTTCCTCCGGGAGGGTATTTTAACATGTCAGTTAAGTAACGCTGCAGCTGGGTAAGGAAGGCAGGTCACATAGTGTTTGCTCTAGGGTGGCCCTCCTCCATCCGCACCTCCCCGGAAGTGGCACGCACACACAAGCGGCTGTGGAGCAGTGAGCAAGAGCGTTACCTCCTGGTCAGTCCCTCAAGGTGCTGGCGCAAGATGTGGTCCCAGTGAGCACAGATGTGCCAGTCCTGTCCTTCTGTTGTGCTAATTCAACAGCCATTGACAGGACTTCTCTGCCAGGCACTATCCTGGGACCTGGGGATCAAATCATTGCTGATGCAAAATGACAGGTTTAGAAATAAAATTTTAAATGTGTCCATTTGGCGACCTCAAGAATCCTCTGGAAGGGATGCTGCATTCTAATGTTTATTTTCCTTTGGTTTTCCACAGATTATAGATGAAGAAGAAACACAGTTTATGAGTAACTGCCCTGTTGCGGTCACTGAAAGCACCCCTCGGAGGAGGACTCGGATCCAGGTGTTTTGGATAGCGCCACCAGCGGGGACAGGCTGTGTGACTCTGAAGTAAGTAAGCCTGGACTCCTAACCCACTTCCGTGCAGTTATCAACTTCCTGTGTGCCTGCAGGAAGAGGTGTGGCTTGTGGGGCATCTGTCTTCTGTTGTCTCCATTCTAAAGTGGCCTGTCCATCCCTGGTGTTGACCCACTTGAAGAATCACTTGACTCTGTTTTCATCCAATGGGATGATTCTTCTGGCCAGTCTCATATTAATAGAGATAATGATCTTAAGGCTGATTAAGAAAAAATTTACCCAACCAGGTGAAGATAGGTCTGATTGGTCTGAGGGAGACAGCTTTTCTTGGAATCTCCAATAACTAGAATCCTTAAACTGTTCTTTGGCTAACCTGATGCCCACGTGTCACCTCCACCTGCCCTCACCCCTCCACTCCCCAGGCCCCGCCGTACAAGCCTGTCTTCTTCCTTAGTTAGTATGAATGCTTGCCTACTAGCACTGGGCCTAAGATTAGATCCCCAGTACCACATGACCGTTGTGGTAGTGCACACCTGTAATCCCAGAACTCAGGAGGTAGAGGCAAGATGATCAGAAGTTCAAGGCTATCTTTGGCTACATAACAAGTTTGAGGCCAGCCTGAGCTACATAAGACCAAGTCTCAAAACAAAACAAAATAAAGGTGCTCTTGGCTACCTCTGCCCATGCAGCCTCTTGATCACCTTACCAGTGAATTACAAAAGGAAAGAACTTTGACCAGCCAGAATCATTTTCTTCTCAAGGCAATATTGCCTCAAACCTGTGTCTCTAAACTTATGGACCACAAAATGTTTTTAGAGATGTCAGCAGATGGGGAGGAAAACAATTTTGTGGTCAAGTAAGTTTATCAAATGTTGCATACGGAGCCCTGTCTTGCAGACTGATAACAAGTATCAGCATGGTTGAAGACTTCGCCAAATCCTACCAGAAAAATCTGTTCAACTTCAGTTTACCAGCATATTCCAAACCTACTTGATTGGAAAGCTCCTTTTTAATTTTATGTGTATGAGTGCATTGCCTGTATGTATGTGAATGCACCTGTGTTGTGCAATGTCACGGAGGTCAGAAGAGGGTGTTGGGTTCTCCTGGAACTGGAGTTAACGACAGTTTGTAGCTGCCATGTGGGTGCCGGGAATCAAACCTAGGTCTTCCGCAAGAGCAGTCATTTCTTAACTGTAGATTCTCTCCTCTCTCTCTCTCTCTCTCTCTCTCTCTCTCTCTCTCTCTCTTGAAATTTCATCTGCCAAAGCTGCCCGCCCCCCCCTTTTTATTTGGTCTTTTGAGACAGGGTCTCGCTAAAGCCCACTATGTAGACCAGGCTGGCCTTGAACTCTCAGAGATCTGCCTTCCTCTGCCTCCTAAGTGCTGGGATTAAAGGCATGCACCACTATGCCCAGCAACAGGAAAGTTCCTTTTTAAAAATTTTTTTGTTGTTTTTTTATTTTAATTATGGTACCATCAATTTGAAATATATTTAAAGGCCCATTTGGATTGATTCTGAGAATTTTAGGATTTCAAACAGACAAATGGTCATCTGTAGATGGCAGGGCTCCAGTCCTAGCATTATATATGTGTGTGGGGGGTATTTGGCCAGGCATGATAATACATGTCTGTCTGCAATTAGCACTTGGGAGAAGGATCCGAAGTTCAAGGTCATCGTCCACCTTTAAATACTGTCCATGTGTACACATGCAGATGGAAGGTGGGACTGTGCAGTAAACTGAGACTTTAACTGTAGTGCTTGGCAGAGATGCCGTCTACGTGCCAGTTCAGGGTTCAATCTGTTTTCATATGAATATATATATACTAAAAATTTCAGCCTGTACAACAGCCTTTCTCTGATTGAGCCTCTTCAGATACCCTTGTGCTGTGCAGTAGTGGCTCTGTGTGTAAACACCATGCACTGAGGATACACAGAAATATGACGTGTACAGAATAATGCCTCATACCAATCAGATGTTCATTTGTTATTGTGGTTCTTAACAACCCTTTATCGCTTAGCGTTATAAACTCCACTTAAAACTGAAAAAATAAAGAAGTTCAAGGTCAGTCTCAGCTACATAGAGAGTTCCAGTTTATACCCTGGGCTACATGAGACATGAGACCCTATCTTAAAAATACAAAAAGGAAACAAACAATCAAACAAGCAACTGGGGCTGGAGAGATGGCTCAGCCATTAAGAGCACTGGCTGCTCTTGCAGAAGGCCAGGGTTCAAATCCCAGCACCCACATGGCAGCTAACAACTGTTCGTAACTCCAGTTCCAGGGGATCCAACTCCTTCTTCTGTCCTCTATGGCTATTTAAAGACACGGGTACACTTGCATACATGCAGGCAATACACTCTTATACATAAAATAATTTTTAAAAATTTAAAGACATAATATTTTCATGGAGGTGAGGGCTTTGACTTTCCCAGCCATCTTCTTGTCCTGGATGCCCGGAGGACTCATTTCTGTATTTGTTTAATTTCTCATGTCAGCAGACCCATAACTGTGGTTGACTCAGCTTGCTTCTAAGGAGATGCTGATAACAGAGCCTCTCATGTAGGCATTCCAGTTCCTACAGTGCTTGGACGTCAGCTGTGCCTGGCTGATGGAAGCAAAGCCCCACCCAGTCTATGCAAGCACCTGTGCTTTGTCCAGACTTATCCTCATCTGTCTGGCCTCCCTTGGCTACCATCTGTCTGGATGCCATTTGCTTCTTTCTTAGATGAACGCGAAACTAAGCATCCTTTCTCCAGTTCCTTGAAAATGTGTCAATGCTTCTTGACATTTACTTACACTGATGATCTAAAACCTTAAACTGTAGAATTTTTAATGAAATCATTGTCTGTGAATCACAACATTAAGCAGGTACTGGTTGAAATGTGGGCTTTGGGGAAATAAACAGAACAGAGGCAGTGTGTTCGGAGCTGCACAGGGAAGTCGGCTGCTGGCACTGGCTTTTAGTAGGGAATGCAAGGCCAGGAGGAGGAGGGGGAAAGCCTTCTGGTGAAGAAAGTCTAGGGCTGCTGTGATGGGAGGTGGTTTTGCTATGGGGAAGGTGGTAACAGGCTCACCGAAAGGGAAGCATCTCATGTGGTTAATGTGGAGGGCACATTTCTCTGGTTGGTCCTAAATGTAAAGTAGGGGAGGTGGTGGGAGGTGGAGACTTGACAGTCACTGAGAGATCCCAGAGGTTGTGGGCTGATTACTGTAAAGGCTGGAGGGGGGAGGGAGTGGTGGTCAGAGTGCTGCCGCTCCTGTCACACGTGACCTGGAGTTATCTTTGTGTACATCCAGTCTCTCAGTCTGGACACTGAGTTCCAGGACTTTCTAGTACCCAGGTCCCTAACCCATGGTAACTGGATCAGTCTACATAGCCTGGGACCCCAGAGAAGATCCTTTGAAAATACCAGCCCTACATAACAAGTCTCTCGAAGCCCTTATCCATCTGGCCCTCATCTTTGGTTTTATTGTTTTCAGAAGCCAGCAATATCTGATCTTCCTAGTGGAATCCAGAAAGGAATCCCTTGCTTACCCACTAACAGCGTATGTGAACATATGTGTTTCCATTAACAATGAACATGTGTGGCTTGTTCATTCACTTCTTCAGTAAATGCACCTGAGCTCCCATTTGCCCCTCATTTGGGATATCCAGGCATAGGAGGTTCACAGCCCTGCGCTATCTCAGCTCAAATGGGGAAGAATGATCAACCAATGTTTTCTATGTGCTGGGAACTCAGCTGCACATCTAGCAACCTGGCAGACCTTGGCTAATTTGATCTCCACAGCAAACTACCCATATTTCACACAGAGACAGGACCAGGGAGCAGAGCCCTCCAGAGTCCTTGCACCTCCCTTTATTTTTTTTCTGAAGGAATTATGTATAAACCATAGTTCTTTGTTTAAAAAATTAAAATTTTATAAGCGAGATGTAAATACAGTCACACCATAAAAAGTTTCAAGCAAGACAAAAAGGAGATCTAGAAAAAAATATAGGATACAGGAAAAGTGAAAAATTCCTGACTTTCCCCAATATATCTCAGCATTTCCTACATGAAGGCAGCAATACATATCAATTCTGTGGGTGTGCTTTAACTTTTATATGTGCATTTATATTCCTAAAGGTACAAGTTCAGCTTCATTTCTGTGAAATTTTAGGTACAAATGGTATTGGGGTATGTATGCATAATGTCCTGAACTTGACTGGGTTTTCACCAAGCTGAACATTAGAGGTACATCCATATCAGAATAATGTGTGTGTATTTGTTTTTAAATTATTGCATATAATCTGTTGTATGAATATGCTAATTGCTCACCAGTCAGTGCCCATTTAGATTCTTTTTTGTTTTTTCTGTTATAAACAATGTTATGGTGGACATCCAGGTACACAACTTTTTGAGCCAATATGTAAGCTTTTATCCATAGTAGATGACAGAGCATGGAGTGATCAGGGGCACACGCTTATGATTTAACAGACACCATAGACCATCTTCCAGAATCTTAAAATACTCTCCCTGTCTGTGGGTAAAAGAGCCGGTGTCCTTACCTGCTCAACAGCCCTTGGTGTTATCAATCTTTAAAATAATATCATCTGAGAGTTAAAATAATAACACATGGGGCTGGAGAGATGGCTCAGAGGTTAAGAGCACCAGCTGCTCTTGCTAAAGACCCAGGTTCAGTTCCCAGCAGCCACATGGCACTTAACAGCTGTTCATAACTCCAGTTCCAGGGGCTCCAAGGCCCTCTTCTGACTTCCATGGGCATTGTGTATACGTGGTGCACTTACATGCAGGCAGAACACAAATAATCCATAAACTAAAAAAATTAAATATCACATGTTAATTAACTTATTACTATCATAATAGGAATATTTTTTTATTTTGTGTGTGAGTGTATTGCCTATATGCATGTAAGTGTACCCGTGTCATGCAATGCCTGTGGAGGTCAAAAGGGGTGTCAGATCCCCTAGAACTGGTGTTATGGATGGTTGTTAGCTGACAGGTAAGTGCTGGGAATCAAACCCAGGTCCT